GGATGTTTCCCCAGGCTACTGAATCACAGTGCTCACGGTACTGTCCATAGTTACATTAACAATTTGGCATTTCAGGTCCCTGTCTGTCAAAAATATTATATTATGCTGTGGCAAACCTCTATCACCTTATATTTTGAGCATTTATCCCTGTTGTACTGAATGCCAGACACTTATCCATGTCACCAAGGATCACTGAGATGCTTCTGCCTCCGTGAACCCCTGCCCTGTGCAGCTCCAGCCGAGACGGTCTCAGTCCTGCAGGCTATGGAGAGATGGGACACGTGCTCAAGAGACAGGACATGTGCTCAGGAGATGGGACACTCCACTCCTTGTGGTTTCTGAGGGTTGTGGCTTTTTTTCCTTTGCCCCCCCGTCGGGGGAGCGCGCCCTGGGGGGAAGGGCCCCCCGCTGTTACAGGTTACTTTAATTAATACTTAATTCAAGCCACTATAAAGCAAAATGCAAACAAGCGCTAATTCACCTTTTCTAAAACAAACTGCACAACTGCAGGTGTTTCACCAAAGACATAAGTGAAAAAACGAAATAAAACCTAAGCTGAATCTGTTTATAGTAAGATTACATCAGAAAGGTTTCTCTTTTCCTCACTCACCGATATGCTACTTCCTACCAGATAAAGCTGTTGTCAAGGTTTTGGCTGCATATAATCCTGCTCTTCTTCAGCAGGTGACATATCCTTCACACTCCTATTCCTTCTGCAGCAAAACCAACATCAGAACAATAATAATAATTAAAAAACCACACACGGAGGCTAATTGTGTAAAACATATTAGCAGCTCTTGCCTGAGATGGAACATGATTGCGATCAAGATGCTGGCATTGCTCATCTCCGGTATCCTGATTTTATGCATGCTATAAAATCAACAAAAGGCAGCAGAAACATCAATAAATGATGATCTTTCTGCTTACATTGCACTGGTCAAATTATTTCTTAGTTTAATAAAAACCTCTAAGCTCCCAGTATTGCTATGCCAAGAACAAACATCTCATTTTGTCAAAATATTGGTTATAAGTAATTCAGAACTTCAGAACCTGACTGCCAGGAAAATACTGATAAAGAACGAAACTGCATCCTTTCACCTTTTCTTATGGGAGGAAAAAAAAAATCCCCCCAGTAATTCTTCTTGTTTTTCTTGGCAAAGGTGAAGTTCCATTACAAATTTCTCCATTTACAAACCTTCTTCAAACAACACTTCTCAATCCACACCCTTGCTTTAGTTTCACCATCTCACAGCTGTACCAATGCAACTCTAAACCCATCCAACCACAATGCAACTTCCAGCATCTGTTACTTTTTTCCAATTCACTGCTGCAAAAGCATAACCAAGAGGTAGAGAATAAACATCTGGCAGAAGGCATAAACCTTTAAGAGCAGCTATGCCACTGCAAACCAAATCAATACAAAATCCATAGGGACCTACTCAGCACTTCTAACTCTGTGAGCTGTCGGAGGAAAACTGCAGCAGATGCTGTACAAAGTAAAGATACTGCCCTTGCTTTCCAGAAAAACGGGAAGAAGTCCAAAGAGTAACCCTGTGTTAGAGGCAGCACCAAGAACCTAATCCTAATCAGATCAGCACAAGATTTGCCATCTATGTCAGTTCAGGGGTTAGTGAACACCTGCCCCCACAAAAGCAAGCTGAATGATGGGGACTGGGGGGAAGCTACATTAGCAGACGCTTTATTTTAAGCATTGCTTTTCATTGCCGCATCTCTGCACAACGGGATCACACTATTGACATAATAAATCCTTCCCCCCCAAAATACCTAGGGTATACATGATCCCTGCGAGATGTACCTTCAAACATCCAGACAAAATCAGCTGGCTCTTGGTTATAGGTACTGAGCTTCTTTGCTATCGAGTCTCCAAGTTGGGGCATGGCTAAATAATCTCTAAATCCTGAACCAAAAATTTCCTTTCAAGAGCAGCTCCCAAGGCAGCCTCTCTGCGATCACAAGCTCTGCAAGATGTAGAGAGCTATAAGCGTCTTTGCTAAAACATTACCAAGCACCTTTGTATGCACACAAAAGGTCCTGTAGCAGCCCCAACCTGTTAAACATAAGCTTCAGCGCTATGAATTACCAGGAGAATTTGCATCGTGGAGATGCTTGTTCTGTTCCTCCACATTATTTGCAAGTGTCTCAGTTCAGGATTTGGGATCACTCCTTTCCCTTCACTGCTTACCCATGCTCTCAGCAAACAAAGGTATTACCTCCTGGTAAAAAGCTTTAATTGCAGTAAGAACCAAACTGCTAGATGTTTAAACTTGCTGTAAGTAAGATGGCTTGATTCTGGCTTTTAACTGCTGAAGAAAGGGACCAACTCATGTAGTTAGCAAGCAACCTGGACAAGACACAGAAAGAAAACTCATCTCTCAGCATGCGAAAGGTGTATACGGGAGTGATCAGAGACAGGTGACATGCCACAGAAATGGTACAATAGCTCACTTTTCCTCCTCTGCTTCATATGCTCTGACAAGAAGTTTGGTGATGCTCCGTGACTGCATTTAGAAACCCTTAAGAAAATCTGTATGTGCTCACATCAAGAACACAAACACTTAAAGCAGCAGATCTGAACTCACAGACAGTATCTGTCATCATCTTGTAAAAGCATTCAGAGCACTATTCATTGAAAACGCCACCTTCCCACTGTGTCCACAGAGAAGTTACTTCCAATTTGTGAAAATGTTCTTCCCTGAAATGCTGCGACATTTCCATTCTCATCTGAAAAGCAAGGTAATGAACACAAGTATTTTTAAGGACTCATGGTCTAAATAGAGCTCTGCTATCAGTAAGTCCATATGTTAGGAGCAGGACTTGGTTTGCAAGTAAGGGTTTGGTAACAAAACTATTTCTCCCAACTGGAACAGGTTTATATTGCAAAACTGTTTATATCACCATAAAATAGCATTACAATACAATAACTGCATGCCTATTATAATTTCATAATAATAGATGGGTTTATGTTTAATAATGTAACAGTACATTTAGAGCAGTACAGCACGTTTGGAGATGGCCCCTGGATACTTACGGTGGAGCACATTAGGCAGATCGTGCAAGACATTAGAAGGAAGATATTCATCAGGGTATGCCAGAGACCTGCTTGATCAATTTCCTTTAAAATTCACGATAGAACTGGGCCCCAGGGCAAAGACAACAAATATCAATTCCTTCATTCAACTACTTGGCTATGACACACAGCCAGTATCCAAGAGCAAACCACTTGTATTCAACAAGACAGTGGCACCTGGGTGTTTGGTGAGCAAAGCAGGAGTTTTGGCACATGGTGGTTCAATTTCTCAGTTGGCATTTCTGTTCTAGCAGAGCAAGTGGCCTGGTCTAAAACTTGTGTGAATATACCAATACGTTGAGTGACTTTGCTAGGAAACTCAGTGCCAAGTCAGTGCAGAGTGAAGCTGATCTCCAGCCCCAGACAAATGTAACTTCTCTGGAGCAGTAACCAGTGCATTGTCACTACCCATCAATAAAAATTAATTTAAGCCAAATCATGACAGACTTTACGTCTGTGCCTGAAAATTCTACAAGCATATCCAGCCAAATCAAGGAAGTTTTTAATGTCTAGACTCATGTGAGTTCTAAAAACAAATGGGGGCAGACATAGGATTTGCTGGCACAGTGAATCCTTCCCAGCCAAGGACCCTTGATGGCATTCTAATTGTATCCTTTAATCTCCTATCTGCTATAGAGGGGTAAGATGCATGGCACAGGTTGGCGCTATGTCATCACTATATTCACGTAACACCACTTGTATTGTTACCTTGGCTTTAAAGGTAATATTTTACAACTAATATTAGTTGTGTCATTATTTTAGTAATCCAAGTAAAGATTTTACTCAGATAAACAACCTCTGAGAATTCAGTTTCTTATTCAAGGCTTAAAGATAACGAGAATTGAGAAATGACCTTACAGGGATATGTTGAGTTGGTTTTAAGTCCACCAGTTGGACCTTGGATATTAGCTCTTCTGACTCTTGTTAAATTTATTACTCTTTGGACCTTGGGTGGACCAAATTTGGCAATTCTGTAGACAAATATAACAGATTGGGCAAAATATGCCAGGTGAGAGCAACCAGTGGGCTGGGCCAGGTGTTGTTATAACCCAGCCCTCAATTGTTCCCTCTTCCCTCCTGAAGTCTCACCGACATGATCCACATTTGTATTGGGTCGTGACGCTGCCTCGTGGCATTAAGGTCTCAGCAAGCCTTACTCTCGATCTTTGCCATGGTTTATAGGGTTGTTCTAGCACACAATGGCTGACAAGGTTACCTCACACACCACACTCTATGCGTATACAAGCAATTTCATCTGCATTGATTAGGTTCTTTAATTTGCTTTGGTGAACAGTCTGCAGTTTCACAAACTGCTTTTTCAATTCACATTGGGGGATAAAAGCAGGTTTTTATACAATTAACTTGAATGATGACACCAGAGCTACGCCTGAAGAAAATAATGTTTGTAAAAATGTTCAGATGAAACCAGTAATTGTGCATTAATTCAAATGATTCTTTGAGGAATGGACATAATGCTAAATAAACACGGGAAAAGTTGGCAGTGTTGTGGTGCAAGCAGACCATAAAGCAAGTTTATTGATCTTGTTATCATGTGCTCCATTTGCAAATGAACTGATGAACAGATGCTTTCCCACTCCAATTAAAAGTAGTAAGAAGGACAGTTCCTAAAAAGTAGGAAAGAACCAGACCGGTAGAACAGCAGTGCTGCAACAAAAAAAAAAAGCCTTGCTCTTCTGCAGAAGATGATGATCAGTTTGCTCTTCTCTCCTAATAAAAGTGCAAGAGCAGAAAGGAAAGCACAGTGGCCACCAGTAGAAACCATTGCCACATTTACCTGGGATATCTTACACATACATGAGAGAGTGTGATACAAACAAGAATGACAAGAGGGTATAAGAAAAAAAACCAAACCCATCGAGGTAAATAAGTACTTTCCTTAAAATAAATTTACCTGAGACTCCAGTTCCTCCAATTTACGTTTCCTGGCATGAAGAGCTTTACTTGGAAAAGCCCAGAAATAGTTGGAAGTCCCAATTCTATCACTGTCCACCATGCCATCATCAACCAAGCTTTGCAGGATCTCTTTCACTGACATCGAGGCTAAGAAAAGCAAAAATATCCAATTAAAACTGCACGGCATCTAAAGGATGGAGAATTATGAATACCACAAACATCATCTACAATCATCTGTATTTTACTATAACATCAGCTAGCTGGATGATTTCAAAAGGACACCATGCCTGATGCTCCACCTGAAGGAATGCATCCCTTCAAAATCAGCAGTTCATATATAAAGGCTGCTATTCTATGCAGTGTTCTACCAGATGTTCGTAAAACCCCACTCACAAGTATCATAAAATATACATGTAGATTACAGTACAACACCAGCACAAAGACACGAAGGGGTACTTGAGAAGTTGCCTTGCAATCTTAATTCTAACAGGGATTAACTCATAATTTCTTGATTAGGAGTGTAATTACATTTCACTTCAAAACGCTTATCAGAGCATTAAACAGCAGCAGAGGCACTAAAGCCTCAGGAGGGGTAAAATCTCTTTTGATTATAATCAGTTCCAATACAGGAAGTCATCTGCAGTCAGAAGGATCCAGAACATTTCTGAAAATAACTGTTAATTTTCTAGAAAATGTGAGGTATAGTTCACCACTTTAAAAGTGATACCTGTTCAGCACAGGAAAGTAGTTACTGTTATCCTCAAGTGTTGCAGGGATAAATACTATTGAGCTAATTTACAGTTTTCAGTGTCTGAAAATTTCAAGTCTAAAAGGGATCCCACGTCAGGAACATCCAATCTTTGGGAAGCTCTATGCTGGATGCCACTATGGGGGCATTACCACAGGCTAAATGTTTTTCTTTTCAGAGCAGCTGGGGCCTGGGGTGTGCAGCTAAATGCCTCCACGTTCAGGGGCAGCATAAAGTTGGACTATTCAGTTTCAAGAGCATTAATGGTTTTAGAAACTCTACGCTCCGGATTTTTAAATATGAAATTCCATCGCTTGTAGTTACTGTCTTGCACTCTCTCTATGCTGTTGATATCACACCCAACACTACAGCCCTGCCATTCACCAGTCTCCCTCTCTAGATATTTTTCCCATTATTATGATTACAGTCACAAACCTAACATTGTAGCCTGGAAAATTTACACTGTACAACCTGTCCCAGAAAATGATTAATGGCTCAAGACAAGTAACTTCTGTGAACACTTACTAATCCCTTTTTCTTTTGGAGCAATCTTCTCTATGTCCTTCAACTGGAACACATCTTTCTGTGCAAAACATAAAAGACACTTCAGCTCCAAATGACAGCATCATCTAAGACCGAGTGTTTTTTTAAGCTCAATCAATGCCAACAAAAGCAAATAGGAAATACATTGCATATTTATGTTTTGCTAGGGAAATAGGCTGCATATCCCTCAGCAGAACTAGAACATTCTGATAATTAAAGGGGAAAAAAATACTATTATTGTAACAAGCCCTGTTCTTTGTTACTCTGAAGTCACCGTATTTTGCCTCAAGTCAGGCTGTAAACCCCAAGGTTAGATTGTCAGCACCAGATGCACCGCATTGCTCAAGACCTCAAATGTCACAATAATTTCTTTAATAAGTAAAGCGCTGTGAAATATATATGTCACCAATTTAATCATAGCTCTGCTCTTGGATGTCCAGGTTTTTTCTCCCCAGTGACCACTTCCAGGTCCATCTTCATCTTTTCCAACACTCAGATTTCTTTCTACTCCCATAAAGGGCAGTGAGACACTTCCTAATCTCCTGCTGTTCCTCTGATGGTAACAGACTCCAAAGGAGAAGTCCTGAATAGGGAGCACATGGAGCATTTAACACCACCTTTGCATCCTCATGCCTTGGCTCCACCTGGGGATGAGCCACCTGATCAGAAGCTACACAAATCACACTCTGTCCCTGTAATTTATACATTAATGACACAAGGCATCAGTGAAATGCACAGTGGGATGTACAGAGCTCATCTACACCTATAGTTAAGCTCCTCTTAGGACCCGTTTTCCCACTGATGTAAATGCAGGACAATTACAAGTTACTCACTGTTTCAAAAAAGATCTCCATCATGCGAGTTCGCTTCTCCTCAAAGCTCAGACCTTTTTTCTTGGACTAAAACAGGGAAGAAAAACCCAGCACATTCAGCCATTTGAATAATTAACATCTGCTCAGAATTCATGTCTATTTCTCTCCAAGTTACAGTTGCCATCCTTTAAAACACCTTACTACTAACCCTAGACTTTCAAATAAATGTCTGCTTCTCAAAGAATCATTACACCCAGCTAATACACCTGCAAGCTATTAAACTGAAGGCCCTAAATGCTAAGTGTGGAGCTGACCTTTCATGCAACCTAATTCAGCTAAAGCCTCAGTATTTCCTGGCATACCCACACAGTTCCTTGTTTTGCCTTATTAGGTTAAAAATGTGTATTTATACCTATTCCCAGCAACTCGCCCACATGTTTTAATAGTCCAGTGCCCTCATCATCTTAGTGGCCGTCCACTGGACTCTCTCCAGACATTCCTCATCCATCTTGAACTGGGGAGCCCAGAATTGGACACAGTATTCCAGATGTGGCCTCACCAGAGCAGAGGGAGAGGATAACCTCCCTCGACCTACTGACCATACTCTTCATAAGGCACCCCATAGCTGTAACTACAGGGCCTGCTCCTCCAGGTGCCAGTGAAATTAACACCG